CATGCATACATACATACATTACATACTTGCTTGTTTGTTTGTCTCTGCACCAATGCAAAACACATTTGCATGTATGCACGTGTGTGCTGGGTCGGTGGGCATAGGTAGCTAGGCAGGTAAGTGGGCGGGTGGGTGGGCAGGTGGGTAGTTGGTGGGTAGGTGGTGGGTAGGTGGTAGGTAGGTAGTGTGCAGGTGGGTAGGTAGGTGGGTGGGTGGGCCGGCAGGTAGGTATGTAGGTTGTATACAAGTGCAACTGTGTCCAGATGTGTCGCATGTGGCTATGCGGTAAGATGTTGCTCTTAGTTTGCGTCTGTGCGCATGCGTGTCTCGGTGGACAGGAATGCTTCTTCACCATGCTTGCAGGCATGCGTGCACGTGTATTTCTATCTGCAGCAATACAAAGACGTATTTGTCTATGGGTGCAGGAATACGGTCAGAGAACTAGAACACAAACACAAGAGTAGGTGATACAGGAGTATATAAAACAAACTCGAGCTAAAGTGAAGGCACCTGATCAGCAGTGCCAACAGTGACCGCAGGGGCTGCGTACACTCCTTGACCCAGCCATGATTAGCTGTTTAGGCTTCAGGTCTTTTAGGGTTTGAGGCTTCGACTACGCTGCTCCATCTGAGAGCTTTCGTGAGTCGGAGGGTTTAGCAACGCAAATGCAAAGTCTTAGTGGAAGTAGCTGTGCACAGAAATCTGCAGGAGCTGCTGACCTGGACCTGGGTATTACATATTGATTGTTCCGACCCCCGCATTATGTCTCTGTTTGCGCATGTGTCTGTCTGTTTGTCGCAGAGCATATACGGCATTTTGGGGAGACAGGGGGTCTGAACCAAGCCGCAGGGAGGCAACCCCCATGTGTGGATTGTCCGCTGGACCTGTCACTGCGGCCTTTGCATGGGAGACATCTGACAAGTCTGTCTCTCTTCCTGTGCCTGGCTTCGAGGGCTGGTATGGGGCGCGCGGCTTTAGGGTTTGCTGTCACTGGCAAACAAAGACTTTCAAGGTTTGTCCAACAAAAATCCGACCGTAAACCCTATGAGCCCTAAAGCCAATTCCTGAAGCCCGTCGAACATCGCATCGGCACAGGTGGTCCTTAGGAGTCGTCAGGAGCCCCCGCTGCAACAGCTCCGAGGAGGCCTGGCCCCCGCCATCTGAACTTCGCATGCTGTAAAGCTTTCAAGCTCTACCTATAGTCTCCATTGCAGTTCCTCTTTGTGGTTTAACCAAGTATATACTAAGGATTTTTAAGGTATCCCCCAAAAAGGGACTAGAATGGAGAGTGTAGGTAGAGGTTTTGGGTTGAGCTATAGGGTCATTCTATACGGTCATTATGATATGTTTCGACACGGTACTGGAACTACGGTGTGAGGTTCCTCTATTTTTCCCTCTCGCATGGCTGAGAAGGTTCCTCTATGGTATGGAAGGTTGATATGCAACGCTACCAAGGGCTATCTGGGTACGGGTACTACAGGGCTATACTTACCCTAACCTATAGAGTCAGTATGTAACCTGCGGTATAAACTTACTTTATCGGGTCAGGGAATAAGGTTGTCATAGCATACAAGGTTGCTGTAGGGTAGCATTAAGCGGAGGGTAATATACTTATAATATAAGGCAATGATATTCTGAGGTCACGATCTGGTGTTTATGAGGTCATGAATACAATGGTGCTACTGCTCAGCAGTTTGCAGCCGCCCGCATCGTGAGGCACTGCGGTCTTCTTGCAAGGGTTTCAGGACTATGCGTAGTACTTATGGGGTCTCTTGGTGATTTTGGAACAGGACTTACGGCTTACGGCACTCCTGGAGCAGCTTCATCGAGTAAGTGGGATCGATAGGCCAAACTGTTGCCGAAATCATCCATCCACAATTCGTGCTGCGTCAATACAGAGGTCAGGACGGCTGGACAAGAACCCAAAACCCTACACCCTAAACCCAAAATGACATGAATACTGTTTATCCCTAGCTCTAACTTTGGAGAAGGTTGCAAGTTGGGAAGTCGAGGATGACAGTTCCGCGTCGGGTTAGTCTGCGACCCGCGTCTCCCATTCGCGACTCTACCGAGAATGTGCTACGAGGCCTGCGGATCTCACAATGTCGAGGCCTTAGTAATTAGAGCAGGGTCGTAGAAAAATATTGTAGCACCCATAGAAGTATCCGTAATAATGTTCAGGGCCTGTCTAGGGACTATCAAGGGAGTATGTCGACCGATTCCGGCACCATGGACTGTGGACCCTTTCGGCACCAGGCTAGGAGTGTCATATTCTTACATGGAGGGTTAGGGTTGAAGGGTTAGGGTTTAGGGTTTAGGGGTTAGGGTGAAGGGGTTGGGGTTTAGGGGGAGGACCACAAGCTGAATGAAGCCTCCTGGAGTCAGCAAAGCTTTCTCATCCTACTGGTCTCCGGTTTTTTCTAGGGTTTAGGGATATGCGGGCTGAGGGAGTGTATGATACGACCATTCATGTACGCACCTTGGGAACAACAAAGAGGCCAAAAGTTCTTCGTGCTCGGAAATCCCATAGTGTAGGGGCCTTAATTTTTAGCATAGGGTTTGGGGTNNTCCATTTTGTCTTCACCGACTTTCCCCCCCCCCCCCCCCCCCCCCACATTACGCATCCTTCCGGAGTTCGTGAAAAAGCAGGCATGCCTTGGCTGCCATCTCCTCGCCGGTCTGATCCAAGCGTCTGACGGCCCAAGCAAACATTCTTAGATAAGGGCCTGAACAATTTCGATAGGGTTTTGGTGGACACGAACGACAGTATAACCACTATAAATTAGAAGGGTCCCCAAGCACTACTGTTGGTATTTATTTTGGCTTCTGTTCTACACCTAGGAGTTGTTTCGTTGAAAACTGGTTGCCGAAGGGCTTTGGGGGCGCTCCGGATCTGATTCGACCTGCTTAGGCCACAAGTTCTTAGGCTTGGGTCCTCTCTTGCTAGCTGCTAGGGTTTAGGGTTTAAGGGGTTTCGACTCTCACGCTCGAACCAGGCAGGCAAGGCTCCACATAAGGGGTTTCGGGTTTAGGGTCCGTGCACGCCACGGACATGCAGCAAGCGGCTACGAGTACCACAGAAGGATCCGACCCACAGCCAGAGGCCGAGCCCTTCCTGCCTGAGCGTTCGTTCGAGGACAGTTTGCTGCAGGCGCCGCTGACCTGCCTCGTCCAAGTGTTGGGCGGCCAGGCCCATGCACATCCTTTGTTGGAGTGGCTTGGGGGGGTTGGCCGGGGAAAGTGACAAAAAACAACAGGCTACACATCACGGGAGTGGCAATCTTGCCCTCTCCTACTTGAAGGATCATGGGACTTAGTAAGTAGGGTTATAACTAAGCTAACTGTACTTAAAACCCCAATTAGGGGACTTATAACCTTACTTATTAGGTCCCACGATCCTCCAAGTACAGTAGCATGGAGCCAGGACATCAGGGATTCGAACCTGAGGAAGTCCTCCTTGGCCTGGCGAGGCATCTTTTGATCCAAGCGGCTCCACACCGATAATGCTGTCCTGCCGGCAAGCTCCAGATCTACACGATTCAAATCAGCCCAAAGTACACAATTCAAGCGCAACACACATCCCAATCCAGCTAATTAATTAGTCATCCCAAACCCGCGACTCAACATCCCAAACTCTAACCCCTCAGCCGTATATCTCACACCACTGACTTGTGCCTCACGCTCCAGGAGGGTCTTTCCCTGCAGCGACGCTGCTGCCAGGGTGAAAACTGCGGCGCCGAGAAAGTCCTCCTGGCCGAAAATGGTCAGGTTACAGCAACGTGCATTCCTTTGGTGGTGTACGCCGGCTTCCAGGGTTCCGAATCGATGTAGTTTCTAGGCACCACAACTACAACCAGCTCTCTTCAGTCGTTATCTCGCTCCGCTGCATAGGTCTTCTACGGCAGCCATATTATGAAGTCGCACACCTGAATATAAGCATCTGTGACGTGTGCTTCTTCATAGGAACTCACGTTGCTCAATGTGGATATCACAGGCAGCTGAGGATTTCCTCCGTGTGGCGCTCGCCAGTTTAAGACTTTGCGTATTACTATCACAAGGAAGATGAAGTTAGGATCTCACACTTCGCGTTCGTCTGGTGTGTCCGTTTCGGAAATGTCGGAATCCCAAAAGGACTTATCTAGTCGCACTGCTACGACGTAGCCCATGGACAGTCTGCCGAGGTGCGCTGCCACTGGCGCTTTGGTAATCCTCCTGCCACACCTGCAGCACCTACAGATGGGCTCGGAAAGCGTGGTGGTGAAAACGAGGAATAAGCATTGAACAGGGCCTCACCAGCCCGAAGGAGTGAAGTAAATACTGGTGTTGCGAAAAGCCGCGTCGAATCTTCAGGATGTTCTCACGATGACGAGCGTGTCGGCTGTTTGTGAAACTGCTACCCAAAACACTGTTGATAAGCGTGTTGTGATGTGGACTGGTGCCAGTATTAGTACAGTCCTGCAGTTGCTAGTTGAGTGTCTTCACCTTGTACAACTTACAGTTGCGTGTAAGGCGCCTTCGGCGAGATGATTTGGGATACAAGCTTCATGGTGCACATCCTCGTATGCAGTTGCACCCGAGGTAGTACGAGCAGCCGCAAGATTCAACGGAACACTTTAGTACTACGAGAAGGTGTTTTGAACGTGTGGTACCAGTGCAGACGGATATGGGTGAGCCAGAAGTGCCTCCATAGCGGAGGTGTTGCCATGAGTCTCAGCGCACCGCCGCAACACCTCCCACAGGGCCTGCGCATCAGTAGGCTGTTCACTACCTACATGGGTAGCGAACGGGAAATACGGCCTGACACGGATACCATAATTTAGTTATATGCATAGATGCATGCTTTCGTATACGGAAACACCTCAAACAGTATCATTGCAGCAGGCGGGCTCTGCAGAGGTGCGAGGCAAGAGGAAGGCAAATCAGTCACAGATGCCGGAAAGCAGAAACAAGACACATGGGAGCCATTACTTGATAGGTTCGCTGCCGACAACCACAATCTGACACCACACAACCCCCACACCTGTTGCCCGACAAACTCACATGATGTCGCAATGTGGACTTCAGACTTCGACCCTGTCCAGCTCGACCAGTGTTCAAGATACGTCCGACCAAGCACGTCTACCGGGAGAGGCGCCTGTACATCCATAGCCTCGGACATTTGGCACAGCTTCGCACCGTGAAGTACGTCGTCATCAACATCATGCACATGCCGCAAGTGTTGTTGGCAATAGTCCAAGCTGTTGATGCTGTTGATGATAAAGATGGTTCTGATTGGTGGTTGTGTTGATGTTTGAACGGTGTCTGTGCCGGTGCTGGTGTAGCGGCCGGGGAAGTGTTGGTCTCAATCTTGTGCCAGACTCGTTCCCAGACAACCATGACGGGAACTTCTATGACAAAAACTCAGCCAGACTGTCAACAAATGCTATAACTTTTTTTTAAAAAAATACCATAAAAAGTTGTCATACAAATCACTATCGAGAAGAAGTGCAACCAGGCAGCCATCTCACACCTGATCTCTCACACCACTGGTTGACATCCGGCTGCGAAGGCCATG